GGCCGGCCGGTTGCTAACCCACTGCGGCTCTTGCAGCGAGGAGAGGGCCGCCGCGGGGTCCGGCGGGTGAGGGCTCAGCTGGGGAGAGGATTTCTGAAACCCAGCGACATTTTTCCCCGTTCCCCGGTGTTTCTCCAGGAAGGTGCTCCTCTGGTGACTGAGTCTGAGTGTCACCCAGGGGATTTTTCAGCCAGTTTCGTGCGTGTCCGGGTGTAGGGCAGGGATGCTCTGTGCCTGCAGACCAGGACGCGATGCGGTGGGCAGGCAGGGGTGAGGAAGGCAGCTCGTGCCCCAGCGCTTGCGGCAGCGTCGGGTGTGTTTTTGGTGGCACCGATCCCACGCATCCGAAACGTGCAGCCCGTAGGGTGCTGCGAAGGCTGGAAGGTAGGGTCGAAGCCGGGTTTTCACAAGGCAGTGTTGACTTTCTGCTGCTTTGGAGGCAAACGGGTGGCTGACCGAGCGATGCAGCCTCGGAAAGCGCAGAGTAGGTTGGTTTGGGTTGTGCCCTTCATCAAACGGTGACTTGAAGGCTGTCCAAGCGCACGCACGTGCTGCAGCCCCGTCCTTCCGAGGCGGGGTATTGAGTTAAAAGCCGTGAGTCTAAATGCTGTCATCTCATTTATAAACGAGTGCAGGTTACGCCGTGCTTGTCCCAGCGACGGGCACGGCGGTGTCTTTGGCAGAGAGTCTCCGCGGTTTCATACCGGCTCTTTGATCCACGGACCCTGCTCACTCTTGAAGGCTTATCGGGGGCAGCGGGCTGGGAAGTGTGTTTGGGTCCTGAGGCCAGGCCTCTGGATCTCCTCTGGTCTTGTCCCCTCTTTGATGTAGCCCCTATAGCGTCTTGGGCTTGCTGTAGTTAGGCGGTGCAGGCTGGGTGGTACGGGAGTCCTCGTGCACGCTGGGCTGAAGAATTTGAGGGAGGATTTAGGTTGGAAGGAGCTTCTGGAGCCTCTGCCCCAGCGTGGGCGGCTTGGAGGTGGCATCCGGCTTGGAGGTGGCATCCGGCTTCACAGGTAGAGCAGGTGACCGGGGGCCTTGTGCCAAGCTTGGAGCACCACCGAGGGTGGAGCTCCCCCCTCGGAGGAGCCCCTGGAGGCTCTCCAGGCTCCCGGCCATTGCACGTGTGCGGGAGTCACCCCTGGAGATCGATGTCCCCTGAAGTAGGTTGGAGTGCTTGCAGAGCAGTGCAGGAGCTGATGCCAGATTTTTGCCTCCAGCCTGGCTGGGCATGGTCTGGGGCAGTAGGAGGAGCGGTGTGGAAGCGAAGCGGGGTCTGGTCATTGCCAGGAAGCAAACCTGATACCAGTGGTGTAAGAAGCAAGTCTTGCGGACTGCTTTTTAAGCAAAATCAAGCTGGTTTTCTGCTTGGCAGAAAGAGGGTTGGACTAGATGATCTCTGGAGGTCCCTTCCAGCCCAAACCATGCTGTGATCCTACGGAATCCAGCTCCTGGTCCCACACTGCTGGTGGGGTTGGTCGCTGAGGGCTGGCGTGGGCTTTGCTGTTGTTCCCGGCCGCTCTTGACCGTTTCCGCGGCTTCTGTCGATGTTGCTGGTGAGTGATGTCTCCTGGGTGGATCCCAGCTCCTTCCGCTGGGATCACCGAGATCCGTTCCCAGCTCCTAGCGTTGCCCCTGCCTGCATCCCATCCCCTTAGACATCGGAGGTCCCGTCCGAGGGTGGAGTTCCCAAAGCCAGCCGGCGCTGCGGGTGGGAACTGCAGAACGTACAGCAGCGTTTGTTTAGAGTGGGGAAGATTTAAAAAGAAAAAAGGCGATTTTAGGCTTTTTCTCTGTGTGCAGCCTTCAGCTGGACTCCGGTTTCTGAGTCTGATGAGCAGCCAGGAGCAGAGCTGGGGGAAGAGGAGGCGAGGGTGCGGGGGTCGGTGCC